GGCACTTCAGCTGGGCTGGATGTGTCAGCCTCTTGTGCCAATTCTCCTTGATTTGCTCGGAGTGCCCTGATGTATCACCCCTGGCCCGTATCAGGGCAGCAGGTTAAAAGCCCTTACTAGCTCTCCATCCCTCTGCCTCTGGTGAGCTGCCCCACTGACTGTCACCAGCCAGCAGGAGACTATTAACCCCTTCCCCCTTCAAATCTAGTTTAAAGCCCTATCAATGAGCCCTGCCAATTTCTGCCCCAGGATGCTTTTCCCCCTCTGGGACAAAGGGATCCCATTACTTGTTTGCAGCCCTGGTCCCATGTAAACCGAGCTGTGATTGTAAAATCCAAACCTCTGTTGGTGAAACCAGCCCCAAAGCCATGAATTGACCTGTCACCTTGTCCTAAATATTCCCTCGTCCAACGCTGATGTTAGAGGGATAGAGGAGAACACGACTTAAGCTCCTGATGCCTTCAGCAGTTGTCCTAAAGTCCTGAAGTCTCTTTTGACTGAGTGTGAGCCTCTTACTGTTGTATCATCACTACACAGTTGAAAGACCAGAAGTGAGTAGTAGTCTGAAGGACCCACAAGGTTGAGAATTTTACCTACAATGTCCCTTACCTGGACACCAGGGAGGCAGCAGACCTCTCTATGAAGTGGGTTTTGTCTGCATATTGGGCCATCTGCTCCCTTCAGTAGGGAGTCTCCTATAACAATGACCCTTTGAGGTTTCTTCTCAGGATCATTTTTGATGGCTGGCCTGAGGCAACCTGCCTTTGGTGCAGCTTGTAGCCTTTTTGATTCCTCATCCTTGCTGACTATCTGTTCCTCCTGCAGAACCTCAGACCTATTCTGCAAGTGCACTGTAGGCAGTGTGCTTTTTAAAGTAGTGCTCTTGCCTCACTTGCATTTCTTCTGTCAGGCAGAGACCTGTTCCCATTGACCCTGTTCATCTGGGTGGCTACCTGGAGGCTGAGGGGTTTGCTCTTGGGATGATATCAAACCCCCTGCTCCACTAGGAGTTAACTCCTGTTCTGGGTCTGTAGAGAAAACACTGTGGACATGGTCAACTGCCCTTTCACAGTCTCTTACAGTTCTTAGTTTTTCCACCCCTTCTTTTAGTTCAGCCACCACGACCATCAGATCTCTGATCTGCTCACACCTAATGCAGGAGCTGTCCTGCGACCCTCCATATCAAGAACCAGGCTCCAGCACTCCTTGCAGCCAGCTGCCTGAACATCTGCATGCCTGCGTGTGGTCTCTCTTTGGGTGCCCACGGTTTATTACTAGCCTTTGTCCGAGTGGTAATCTTGTCTTCCAGTAAGGGCTCTCTCCTGTGTATCCCCTCAGTCAGCAGAAGGCCGCAGCCACACGCGGGCTGGGGCTGGGGCTGCTCTCTGCTCTCCTCGCCCTGGCACGGTTGCTGTGGCAACCCCTCCCTCTGCTGCATCACTCCCTAGTCGCCCAGGAGCCCGCTGCCCCTCCGCCCCTCTGCAGGAGCTCCCGGGCAGAGCGGGCAGCAGATGGGGCAGCCCCTCTCCAGACAGCCCCTCTCGGCCTGAGCCAGTCCCGCTGCCTCCTCTGAGCACAGCCACACGCTGGGTTCTACAGCACAGGGACTCAAACCGTATCCCCCATAAAGGCCTGTTCCTGTGCAGTGTCAAGGAGGACTGAGTCCATCTGATTCTCCCTTAAAAACTCCAAATGCATTTTTACAACACAGATTAAAGAAAAAACAGATTTCATAGAAAACATCAGGAACAGCATATACAAAGCAAGTTAATCCAAGATTGGTTCCACAGCCAGGCTCACATTCACTGCATGTGCTTTGAGCTCATTATGCTAAATTTGACTACCTTAATTTAATTCCCAATACATTCACTTGTTTCAACTACCATTCTGGTTTACATAGCTAATGAGAGCCTAAATTTGCAGCTATGCAGAAAGGGAACAGATCTGGATTGATGGCCCTTTCTAGGTCTGACATTCCCCACTCCCAAGCTTTCATATCTGCTACTCTCAGTAAAACAACTTGGTTATATTTAATAATCACAAATAGTAGACCATGATCAATTCCTACAATTACTCACAGGCAGTATTTTCTTCAGGCCACAACGTAAAAACTCATTTCTCAAGTGTATCCTGAAATCAAGATCTTCTGGAGATGTAACAAGGGCATTGATGAACTGCATGCATGCTACCTGTTATTGGATATAGGCAAAAACTTTTAGTATTAGTAGAATGAGAAGAAATACTGTCTTTAACTATTATAGATCAATTATAAAACACATGTCAAGAAATGGCTATTGCTTATTAATTATGTGGGGCACACACAACACTTTAAGCCGCATCAGATACCGTGAGTGCTTCTGCTATGTCAAAATTGTATCACAAAGAATCATAGTTGCTTTCAGTGAGTTTTTCCCACACTGCAGTTCCACACTGCAACTCCTTCTTTCTCTTCAGTGTTCATCAATTTGAAAGTCACCTGTTTTTACAGTAATCAAAAAATTAAAGAAAAAAACCAAAACAAAACCAAACACCTATACACAAAATAATTCACATTACCAGGTGTCTTCTCGACTCCTGCACAGCACTTTTGCAAAAGGCCTGAAGTCTCTGGATACTGGTAATGCTTTAACTGAACAGGTGTGTGCTTTAATTGATTTACTTTCAAACAGGTAGACAATATCATAATGCCAAAAGTGCTGATCCACATTAGAATATGAAAATGGGACTCCAGGGAAATATCAAGTTTGGCAAAAGATGTTAACCGCAAAAAGACGTAGCATTAGAGATAAAAAAAATAAATAAATAAAAACCAATAGCTGCAGAGGAAAAAGTCAGATAAAAGCACCCTTCCTCTTTTAATTACATTCACTCTTTAGATTTCATGGAACACCTTATGGAGTCTTAAATTTCTATGAAAACAGTCTTTCAAAGGCACTCTCTTTATAAAGCTGCATCTTCAGATCATGCAGTATCATCATGCTCGCTTCAACGATTCTTGTTATTTCACTACTATGACATGACTTAACAAGCCAGAGTACATGTCCAATCTGAAATTAATAGAGAGAAGAGGTGCCATCTGCTATGATTACTTTTGCCAGAAGAGACTCTGGCTTAATGGCTTGTGCTAATACATTACAAGTAAAGAACGATTTTGTCAGAAACAAGTTAACGAGTCTTGCAATTGTACCTTTACTGGCGTAGAGCAGAGTTTGGGGATTGTTTTTTGTTTTGGTTGCTTGGTTTTGTCTGCTTGCTTCTACAGGAGCACAGCAGGCATGT